GATTTCCATAGTGGCTACAGGAGTAAACTTTTTTTTTTAATTTTTTTTTTTTTTTTTTTTTTTTGAGACAGGGTCTCCCTGTAGCCCCAGCTAGCCTGGAACTCACTATGTAGACCAGGCTTGCCTTGAACTCACAAAGATCCACTTGCCTCTGCCTCGCAAGTGCTGGGATTAAAGGCATGCACCACCATGCTCAGCTACTATACTTTCTTACCAACAGCTAGTAAGGGTTTCTTTCTCCACATTCTCACCAGCATTTGCTGTCATTTGTTTTCTTATGATTGCTCTTCTGGCTGGGTCAAAATGGAATCTCAAAGCAACTTTCATTAGTCTTTCCCTAATAGCTAAGAATGTTGAACACTTGAGTTCAAGTACTTTTGGCCATTTGTATTTCTTCTTTTGAGGACTGTCTCTTCATTCACATAATCCCATTCACTGATCAGGTGATTAATTTTTTTGGTGTTTGTGTAGTTCTTTATATATTCTGGACTTTAATCCTAGTCTGATGTATAATTTGGCAGAATTTTTTTCCCATTTCTATAAGCTGTCTCTTCGCTGTTGGGTTTTTTTCCTTTGCTTTTTGGAAGCTTTTCAATTTCATGAAATCACATTTGTCAATTCTTGGATAATTTCTTGTGTTACTGGAATCCTTTTTAAAAAGTCCTTACTTGAACCTTTATCTTGGAAGTGTTTTCTCTTAGCAGTTTCAAAGATTTGGATACATTAAGGTCTTTGATCCATTTTGGATTGATTTTGTGTGTGCAGGGTCAGAGATACAGATCTAGTGTTCTTCTACTTGTCCAAATCCAGTTTGCCCAGCACCACTTGTTAAAGTGGATGTTTTTTCTCCAAAGGGTATTTTTGACAACTCTGTCAAAAATTAAGTGATTCTGACTATGTGGGTTAATTTCTGGGTTCTCCACTCTATCCCATTGTTATACATGTCTGTTCTTGTGCCAGCATATCACGCTGTTTTTGTTTCTATGACTCTATACTAATACTCCAGATCAGGTATAGATCAAGTATTACGGTTCACCAGCACTGCTCTTTCTGCCAAGGATTGCTTCTGCTATCTGGAATGTTTTGTTGTTTCCAGATGATTTTCACAATTTGTTTCTCCAGTTCTTTAAAGAAATGTCATTGAGATTTTGGTGGCAATTCCATTGAATGTATAGGCTGCTTTGGGTAATAGAGCCATTTTCACAATATTAATTTTGCCAATCTTTTGGCATGGCAGGTCTTTTGATCCTCTAGTGCCTTCTCACTTTATGCAGTTAAGTAGATATTCTTTTTAAAAAGTATTTATTTTTATGTGTATAAGTGTATTGCCTGCATGTGTGTAAGTGTACCCGAGTCATGCAAAGCCTGAGGAGGTCAGAAGAGGGCATCAGATCCCCTGGAACTGGAGTTATGGATGGTTGTTAGCCAACTTGTGGGTGCTGGAAATCGAACCCAAGTCCTCTGCAAGAGCAGTCAGACCCTCAAGCAGATGCTCTGTTTCCCCCTTCTCATGCTAAGTGTTTTATTAAGGCATACTGTTCTAGACTTTGCTTTTCTCATATAATAACATATCCTCCTAAAACACGAAAACAAATTACCTTACAGAGGCAAGAAAATTTTCCCACAACAGAATTAACATGTTTATAAATGACTCAGTATCTAAAATAAATGGTATGTTAAAGATATTGCAAGGAAAAACAGTGCCACAGGCCTTTAGTCCCAGCACTCAGGAGGTAGAGGTTAGGTGGATCTCTTAATTTCTGGTCCAGGCAGGGCTACACAGTGAGACCCGGAGGAGGGGGGGGGAGGGGGGAGAGGGAGAGGGGGTGGGAGCGGGAGAGGGAGAGGGTGGGACTGGATGAATCACTTAGAATCCTCCTGCTAGAGGTAACAGGCAGATTAATAGTTTGTTTTTACCTGTAGTTCTTTTACATAAGCATTCTACAGACCATTTTTTTCTCTGGGAAGCAACTTCTCTGGGACCTTGTGAGGGACAGAGTTACTGTTTCAGTAAGAAAAAGAACTTCCAATTCTACAAAGGGAACACAGCTTCAGTTCTGTAGCTCCCTGCTGGAGGAGGGGGTGGGGGAGGCAAGGAACACTTCCATAAAGTAAGCCAGGTAAGACATAGGCAATCCTATTCTCACAACAAACCTCCAGTAAATGGGTCAGCAACAATGGAGAGAAATTGCATTTCACCACTTTGTAGGATTCAGGAGGCAGAAGCTAAGCATCATCTTATGAGAGAACATACTGTTAAAACCTGAGCTCCCTTGGAGGCCAAGAACAAGGAACCACCACAGGTCAGAAGGCCTCAGTCTGGCCTGACATAGCCCCAGGGGAAAGGAATGTCCAGGTGGTAGTTGTGGACACTGACAAGCCAAAGGGCATAGGTGGCAGAAGGGTAGGTCATAGCAGGTAAATCCATAGTGAAAGACAGCTTTGCCCTGGGAGCCTACAAAGATATCTTATCAACTGAAAATGCTGGTGCTTGATCTGGAGCCATCTTTTTGCCATTCATTACTGTAGAGCCCCAGAACTCTGAAGTCCTAACAGCATACATCTATCTATATTCTGATGTCCCTCTGATGGCATCTCTCCTGCATGGTGAATAATACTCTGGAGGACATGAAAATACAAAGACAGGTCCTGCTCTACCTGTACCTATCAAAGTGCTGTGATTACTTCCCACACTCCCAACAAATCATGTGACACCCCCAAGCTAGAACATTAGCCACTCCAGTGGATATGATCTGTGGAGTTTTGAGATGAGAGACTCTGATCAGCCCACAGACTAAAAGCTAAGTGTGACCATCAGAGGGCCCTACACAAAGGAAAACTATAAATGTGAAATCATCTTGGTTATTAGACATCTGTCCAATACATACTCAGCAGACATGAATCACAAGACAAGAATCCACAATTCTCTACTGCAATCTCCAGTCTTCACAGACTCAGAAAGAAGAAGCTAATCTAGTTGCCACCCAGCCCTTATCTGTTTGTTTTGTTTTTCCAAGTTCTAGGGATAGAATCCAGGGCCTCGTGCATCCTAGGCAAAATGGCTGTGTATCCCCAGCTTCTTTCTCTCTCTAAAGTCTCACTAAGTTTCCTTTGCTGGCATTGAACTCATTATATAGCCCAGGCGGGCCTTAGCCTCCTGAGTAGCTGGAATTACAGGCCTGTGCCACCAAGATGGCTCACTTTATCCTTTTTAATTCTTATTCCTGGGGCTGGAGAGATGGCTCAGTGGTTAAGAACACTGGTTGTTCTTGCAGAAGACCCGGGTTCGAATCCCAGCACCCATATGCTAGCTAACAACTGTTAGTAACTCCAGTTCCAGGGGATCTGACAGCCTCTTCTGTCCTCCACAGGCATTGGATGACATGGGTGCACTTACCTACATGCAGGCAATACATGCATACACATAAAATAAAAAAATAAATAAAATTTAATTCTTATTCCTTTTTGACACATGTGATTCCATACACGCACGCACGCACACAATTTGCGTGTATTTACTTTGCTGGGGGAGAGGGGGAAATATATGCCATAACATACATCTAGATGTCAGAGAATGTGGGTGCCAGGGATTGTTAGCAGGCAGGGAGGAGGTAGGTATCTGCTAAACTATCTCACCAACATGCATCCCCAAAACCTTTTTGTAAACTATGTGCTTAGCAGGACTTTGACTTTATTGTGTTTTTTTAAACTTAATTTTTCTTTTTTTTTGAGGCACGTTCTCATTGTATATAGCCCAGGCTGGCATGGAACTTGTTACACTGAGGTGTGTTCCACTATGCTCAGCCAAAACACTCAATACTTCTACCTGCAGTTTCTGTTTAAGAAATTGAAAATGAAATTTCACAGTGATAACGTAATGCAAAAGTCACGGTAAGTTTATAAGAAAATGTATAAATGAGGCTACAATTTAGTTCTTCCTAAGTTTTCATTTTCGACCTCCTAAGTCAACATGTAAATACCAGCAAGGTCAAAAGAAAATCAAGCTATTCATTTACAATAATGTGAAGAGGAATCAATCATCTGGCATTTAATTTATTTATTATTATTATTTTTTGGTCCTTTTGAGACAGGATCTCCCTACAGCCCCTGCTGGCCTGGAATTCACTATGTAGACCAGAGAACTGCCTGCCTCTGCCTTCCAAGTGCTAGGATTAAGGCTCACACCACCATACCCAGGGGGATTTTTATTTTTCTACAGTAACAGTTTGACCTAATGAATTCTAATGACTAATCTTTTTCTTTCAGTGCTAATGATGAAACTCAGAGCATTTTCAGCCCTCTAGTGACTAATCTTAAAAAACAAACGAACAAGGGTCGGTGGTGCAAGCCTTTAGTCCCAGCACTTGGGAGGCAGAGGCAGGTAGATCTTTCTGAGTTTGAGGACAGCCTGGTCTACATAGCAAGGTCCAGGCCAGCTGAGGCTACAGGGAGACCTTGTCTCAAAAAAGACCCCCCCCAATTTTTTTTTTTTTTCATTCAGTGTAATACTGATTCAGTTGTAGATTTCTGTAACTCTACTGTTAATTATCAGTGGTAGGAAATGACAACCTTCTCCATAACTACTTTAGAAATTTTGCTTAAAAAGGACTTGTTCATCCAAGTATGGTGGTGTATACCTTTAATCCCAGCACTTGAGAGGGATTACAGAGGTAGGCAAATCTCTGTGAAATCAAGGCTAGTCTGGTCTACATAGTAAGTTCCAGGCCAGCTGGGGCTACAGGGAAACCATTTCAAAAAGAAGAAGAAAAGCAAAGCGAAGCGAAGCGAAGAAGAGAAGAGAAGAGAAGAGAAGAGAAGAGAAGAGAAGAGAAGAGAAGAGAAAAGAAAAGAAAAAAGACCCTTTTAAGTTGAGGTTAGATTAGCCTGGGTTTTGAAAATGGGCCTCCACTTTAACATAAATTCTGTTTGGAAAATACATGCACATCTCTCTTCTGGATATCTGTATTAATAAAAAAGAATAAGTATTAGAAAAATCTTACCAGAAAGATCCACCACAGCCTCATGACTGGAAACAGCTCCTTTCTCAATAAAAAGATCTCTAAAATATTCGCTATTAGCTGATAAAACAGATTTATGAGCTTTGTACTCTTCTCCTTCAATTAATAATGTAACATCACAGAACTGGTTGGAAAGTCTCTGCTCATTCAGCTGTTTCAAAACAGCCTGGCAATGTTTTGGAGAAGAACGTTTTACCACTCCTTTGGTGTCAACCTGTCAAAATAAGTTTGAGATCAAGAGCTATGTTATATATCACCTATACTTTTCACCCTTAACAAAAAAATCTATTCCTTTTTAACATGTGAGGAAATAATTTTTATACTTTGTTAAGTAAAATATATCATTTTCACTATTTTCTGCCATGTTTATTTTACTTGACCTAGCAAAAACCTGGTTTTTTTTTTTGGTTTTTTTTTTTCGTCTTTTTGAAACAGGGTCTCCCTATAGCTCCAGCTGGCCTGGAACTCACTATGTAGACAGGCTGGTCTTGAACTCACAGAGATCCTCCTGCCTCTGCCTCTGCCTCCCAAGTGCTGAGACTACAGGCATGGGCCACCATGCCCGGTCAAACCTGTATCTCTTTGATGAATTTTCTTTCTAGTCAAAATTGGATAATATATGAAAATATAGGCAAAAACAAACAAACAAAACAAGAAAATCTAGCTAGGGAGCTAGGGATGTAGCTCAGTTGGTAGAGTACTTGCCTAGCTAATATAAAGGCCTGTATTTGATCCCAACACCGTATAACTACATGTGGTAGCACATATCTCTAATTGCAGCATGGTAGAGGCAGGAAGATCAGAATTTCAAGGTCATTCTCAGCTTTATAGTTATTTCAAGGCCAGATTGGGCTATAGGAGACCCTATCTCAAGATCAAACACCCTAATTAGAGTAATTACCTTGCCACATGACCCACAGCCTACTTTGGGAAAGTATTCTGTGTATCTGTACCAATATATCATTACAAAAGGGAGGAGTTGTTAAAAGTAGCAAAAACTAACAAGAAATTAATTAAGAACTTATAGGATATTAAGCTGAGTCTAAAGAATACTTATGATCAATGAAGAGTGTGTAATAGTATACATTTAGCTTGTATAACAACATAGTAGACAATCTGTCTTAATAGCTTTACTTTAGACACACACACTTGCTTAAATCTTCAATTTCAGCACTAAGTCAAGCAGTGCCAGTGACTTGAAAAAAAAAAAAAAAACTTGATCAAGACTGAAATACCACACTAGTTACAATAAAATGTTAAAGTTGGAAAAAAGCAATGTTAAAGTTGAACAGAAAGCACCACTTACAAATACGAGTTCATGTTTAGATACTGGCTTTTTTTTTGAAGACTTGGAAGCTGCTGTTGGAGGTGAAGTAAAGTTGCTCAGGTCATCTTCTGATTCATTACTTTCTTCTCCAGATTCAAGGTCCAATCCCAATTCTTCCAACATTTCTGAAGCATCTGATATTGGACGGGAACGATCCAGTTTCTCCTGACATTTGCTACATTGTTTAATGTAATCTTTGACTTGTTTTAATATACCTTCAGTCAAAAGAAAATTAACAAGTTAAATTTAGAGGTGTTTCTACTTGAAAACTGAAGAACATACCATTGAATATGTACACTAAATTTATGTTCAAATGCATACATGCAAGCACAGTCATGCTTAGGAAGAAGGTGGAGTAACTTCTTCAGATTGTGAAACACATTCCAAAAAAGTATGTAAACAATGGTTTCCATGCTGAGACAGACTTTTATTGTTTATTCTCAATTATTCACTTTTCCCAGCATGAGATGATATACAGCCCTCCCATTTCTATGTGCATTACTGTGAGTTCCAGGCCAGTCAGCTATATGGTAAGACCCTGTCCTCAAGAAAAAATTTAATAAAAGATTTAAAAACACAAGGCATCCAAACCAGGTGGTGGCGCACGCCTTTAGTCCCAGTACTTGGGAGGCAAAGGCAGGCAGATCTATATAAGATGGAGGCCAGCCTGGTCTACATAGTGAGTTCCAGGCCAGCTAGGGCTACAAGGAGACCCTATCTCAAAAGACCAAAAAAATAATGATATAAGCCAGCCTGTGTTACAAAGTGGTGTCCAGGCCAGCAAGGGCTACAAGGAGGCCCTATCTCAAAAAACCAAAAAAAAAAAAAAAAGGCATCCAGGCAATAGAAACTGCAGTTACAACTGCTGTTTTGTCAGTTCCAGTTACAATGATGCTTTCCTTAGGTACATGAATGACATGTATGATAGTGCTACAGCCTACACCATCGAGATTCATGGAAGTACATTCTGTGATATTCATACAACCACAAAAATCACCTACAAATACATTCCTCATTACCTAGAATGTAATCCTGTTGTTAAATGATTCATGACTATGTGACACCAGTACTCAATTGTCTTGATCTTTACAAATGATTTATTATGGTTCATGCCATAGTAACTCCTCTATCCCACTAATAGCAGATTTAACCTTAACATTTGTTCTGAACAATGGAACATGGATACACTGTATGTCATGTCTGGGAAAAAGTTTTAAAAGGTCATCAATGTTTTTAGCAGTTCTCTGAACATAGGTTCTTTAACCCAGATGCATAAAAGGACAATTGATGACAATTTACACTCTGAAACAGTACTACAACCAAAACTTATAATGAATCTAAAATAAATCTTTTGATCTTGAAAATTATAGGAGCTCAGGGCTGTGTAAAATGACAGTGTATATAATAATGCATGAGCCAATGAAAGAAATCTGTTTTAAATTTCAATTTGTTGACACCGGGGGATTGCCACAGTTCCAAGCCACCTGGGACTACACAGTGAGCTCCAAGCCCTGTGTTAAAGTGAGAACCTGTCTTTCAAAAACAAAAATCAGGACTGGGCGTGGTAGTGCACACCTTTAATCCCAGCACCTGGGAGACAGAGGCAGGCGGATCTTTGTGCGTTTCAAGGCCGGCCAGGTCTACATAGTGAGTTCCAGGACAGCTGGGGCTACAAGGAGACCCTGAAAAAAAAAAGTAAAACCAGAAATGGAAGAGGAACCATTATAATGGGTGTCATGGAAACAAAATAGATCATAAAAGACCACTGCAAAAGCACCCACATGGCAGCTAACTGTTTGTAACTCCAGTTCCAGGGGATCCTACAGCCTCTTCTGTCCTCCACAGGCATTGCACAACACGGGTGCACTTATCTACATGCAGGCAATACACGCATACACATAAAATTAAAAAATAAAATATACAAAAACAAAAACAAAAAAAACTGCAACAACAACAACAAAAATACCATTTCCCTGGTGGAACCTGAAGGCAGTTTATTTGCTCAAAGGAGACACTCCTTAACAACTTCTGTTGCCCCTTAGGCCCAGGGAATAAACATTAAGAAAATAAACCACCACCAGGGCAGTATCCTGAATGCTGTTTCAGGTCCTGTGAGTGGAGCCTCAAACACAGACCAGAGCAAGATGGAGACAGAAGAGCCTACTGATTTCCTGGGCTCTCCAATGCAAGCAGCTTCTCCACAGCTGCCAAATCCCCAAGTGCATTCACCCTTCCTGAGTTCCCTGAACACCCCTCACCCCCGCGTGCCCCCAGTGCAACCAGGTCTCCAAATGCCCTAGAGTACTCAGTCCCCCTCCCCGAAGTTACCATGTCTCCCAGGCCCCAAAAGTCTCCAAGTTTCTCCAGAATTCCTGGGTTCCCCAGCCCCTTCAGAGCCCCAAGCACCCCACTGTGCTCCAAGGAGGCACTGGGAGGAATGCATCCTGTATGCCCAGGAGAAGCATGAGCTGGAAGAACAGTACCTGACCTATGGGGCTCATGGAGCTCTGACTGAAAGCAGAAAACCACGTCCAGGTATGGTTCAAGAACTCCTGTAGTAATTTTGCTAAGAATTTCCTGCAACATTTGCTGCAAGGAGCCAGAAGTGCCCTCAGTAGCCCCCAACCCCAGCCTCCAACACAACTGCCTCACCCCAGGAGTTCTAAAGATGTATGTGTATATTATATTACATGTTATACTTATGTATACAATACATACATATTACACACAAACACACATACACACAACACACAGTTAAGAGTAAATGAACTAGGATAATGAAGATCTTCCCTGTCTAGGGCCATAGCTCAGTTGGTAGAGCTCTTGCCTAGCATACATGAAGCTCTAGTTTCCATGCCCAGTACCACATAAATCAGCTACAGTGGTATTGCCTGCAATTCCAGCACTTGAGATGCAGGCAAGATCAGAAATTCAAGGTCATCCTTGGCTACAGAGCAAGTTCCAGGCCAGACTAGATTATATGAGATTCTGCTAAAAAGAAAAAAGAAAAAGAAAGAGAAGGAAGGGAGGAAGGGAGGGAGGGAAAATGGAGAAGAGCGAAGGGGAGGAGAGGAGGGAAAGGCAGACAGATTGATTTCTGGAGATGAACAGTGGTGGGTGACAGCTACACAACAATGTGTGAATGTACTTAATGCCACTGAACTGTTTTTAAATATTTTACTTATTAATTTTTATTTTATTTTATGTATATGCATATATTGTCTACATGTAGGTAAGTGCACCCGTGTCATGCAATGCCCACGGAGGACAGAGGACACTGTCGGATCCCCTGGGACTGGAATTACAGACAGTTGTTAGCTGCCATGTGGGTGCTGGGATTCGAACCCAGGTCTTCTGTAAGAACAGCCAGTGTTCTTAACCACTGAGCCATCTCTCCAGGCCATGAACTGTTTTCTTAAAATAACAGATTTTACATTATTTATACTTTATCATAATAGTAAATAATAAATGGATGTGAGAAAGACACATAAATATATATTATGTGTAAAAAAATTTTAGCCATAAAAAATACAGAATAATGAGCACTGCTATCAAAATGTCTATATCCAAAATTAACAAAAAGGAAAAAAAGCAATTTGTCCTAATTAAGCTCAGGTGTAGTCTTAAACATCTAAAATGATTCTTCACATTCATATATATTCTGCATATTACAAAGGTTTGAATAAAGTATTATTTGACTGTATAATACCCACCTGCCATGCAAGATGTGATGAACATGGGTACAAGAGTGGCATGATGGTGATGGGAGTAACCAACTGCTTTCTGATTACAGGTGAGGCCTGCTCAACAGGAGGGAATTCATTCCTTGTACTGTAGACCTGGTCAAAAGCCCATGGCAGGGGCTACAGAGGGAGCCTACTACTGTTGTTTTGCTAAACAGACAAGTTACCAAACTGCTTTCTAAGTATCTATGTTTATACCCATCAACGTTGGTCAGAGAACTCTTTTTGCAATGGGTAGGAGACACTGCAGAGACTCATAATTGGTCAGAGTGCTGACAGTAAGTCACTGTTGGGTGCTGAGCCCTAAATGAAACTTAATCCCAACAAGTCTCAGGAAATACCTCTGAAGAAGGTGCAGAAAGAATATATGACCCAGAGGATAGGGAAGAGTGCTGTGAAATGCTGTGTTCTAGACATGAAAAAGCTGTTACACTCATGATCTTGTGGTTGCTGAGTTAACCTGCCCAAGACCTGTAACAAGATCTAGCCAGTCCAGCATGGACAGGGGAGGGGTTCATAAGGCTCCACCCCTAGCTATGAAACTACTCAATTAATAGGTGCTGGGAAAGAGGGAGTCATTTTTTTTCCAGGTATGGCCAATGGTAGGTTGCCCATATATTCATGTAGGCAGCACTAATTGGACTTGGTGGGTTATTAAATAAAAAAGAAAGAGGACATAAAAGCTGGAGGGGCATGTGTTGGAGAGGTCTGGAAGAGTAAGAGAGGAGAGTTGGAGGTGGGTATGATCCAGATACAACACATATATGTATGAAACTGTTAAAGGATTTAAAATATTCAAGAGAAAGAAAAAAATAAATTGTCCAAGAATAAATTTTAAATTTTATTTTAAATGCCAGTTTGCTCCATTCCTGCTGACAGACCTGGGCTGCTCTCAACCTTGGTCATATAAGCTTCTTCTGACAGTGGACAGCAGTCAATGGAGAAATGCATAACTGGTCAAAGTGCTGAGAGCAAGAAACTTAGTTCTCAGACCTAAATGAGACATATATAATACCTCCACCATTAAGACTCAGAATATCTGCCTTTTAGTCCAAGCACTCAGGAGGCAGAGGCAGGTGGATCTCTGTTGAGCTCAAGGCCAGGCTGGTTTACATAGTGAGTTCCAGGCCAGTTGGGGCCACAGTGAGACCCTGTCTCAAAAAGATTTAAAAAAAAAAAAAAAAAAAAAAAAAAGAGTCACAACATCCATGAGTCAGTGAGTATAGAGTGAGTATAGCTGAAGACTACATAACAAGAAACAGTCCCAGACAAGAGAAACCTTCCTTTGCGCTACTGCTGGCCAGGGTAGTCCAAGACTCCCAAAATTACACAGGCTTTCCTTGATTGCCTCCCAGAGCTTGATGGTAAGACCCTATTGCTAAAGACAGGAGATACTTTGGACTCAGGCTTTGCAGCAATGAAGCTAGAACTGAGCTGGAAGCCACCTCCCCTGAAGGCCACCTCTCACAGCT